ACAAATTCAGGTCCACTATCACTTACAAAAGCTATCCATTTATCCAACCTATATCCATACCTATTTCTTTGTATTTATTGAAAATATTTATTCCTGTATGACGTTGACTAGAAAAATCTTCTGTTTTCCACAAGTGACTAATTCTTTTTTCATTTGTTAAAACAAAACTAATTATACTATGCTGAGACACATCTGTCCAGCCATCTCCTAATGTTAAAAATTTTGATTCGGCAACAAATTTTTCAATTTGAGATTCTATGTTAGTATGCACATTCTCTAAAATTTCTGTACTTAGAGTTTTCCTTTATGGTAATTTGTAAGATGGCCTTATGGTGTTAAAAAGCTTGATTACTTCAGGATTTTCTACAAAAGAAAAAGGTACATTTGCAGAAATCAATGCATATAATAATTACTTATTAACAGTATTTCTTTCATCTATTGAAATCTTTCTATCAACAAAACTTTTAATACTAGATTGTGCAGAAAAAACAGACATAACATCAGAATTGTAACCTAAATAATGAAAAGAATATTTGTAAATTATTAATTAAAATAATAAATATTAAATTATCAAAAATTTTCTACCATCATTTAATTCAGTCATCTCTTGAGAGTCATTATCATCATTTTTGGTTCTTTTTTTAGGAAGCTCAAATAAATCAGAAAACTCTGCACAAAGGTCTTCATCAACTTCAGGACATTCCTGCAGATGTTTTGTCATAATTTTATTAACACCACGAACACTTAAATTGCAATAAATACAATTTGCTTGGTAATGTGAACTATTTAGTTTTTGTCCTTTGGTGAAATAGTTCCAAATTTCACCTTTTCTTCTCCCCTGCTTATTATTATTTAACATATTTTACTTTTGTAAAGATTGTATTAATAATGTGTGGTTAATAACATGTGATTAATAATGTGTGGTTATTAAAATTGGTTAATTAATAATTGGTTAACCAAATAAGTTAACTAGTTATTAACTGATTATTAAATAGTTATTAACAATTATTAACTGATTATTAATTGATTATTAACTAGCTATTAACCAATTATTAATTGATTATTAACTAGTTATTAACCGATTATTAACTAATTTGATTGATCAGCAAAATTGATTATTTATTAACTTTTTTGGATTAATAACTCTTGCTCAGAGCACAATAATTAATAAGGGGCTGTTAACTAATTAATAACTTGGAGTTATTAAGTGTAGGGTTAGAAATTCCCATCACTATTAGAAGTCATCGTAAATGCATTTATAAAAAATACATCTTACAAAAATGATGACACAGAAAAGTTGATGAAAGGTATGTGTTATAATCATATAACTTGTACAAATTTAGAAACTATCAACTGATTTGATTGGACAATTCCAATATATAACATGAACCCGCACTCAAAATTTCAGTTGTATGAATCAGGAATGATGTTTTAACCAATTGCATTTTCTATTAATTATAGCAATGATGCTATCTCTTTGTAATCAGCATTCACATCTAGATGTTGATGAAGATAAATTGAAATTAGAATCATTTTCTATTTTGATATATGGTAAGTACCAATGCAAACTCTTCCAATTCTTCCAATTAAGAACAACTGATTAACTAGATTATTTCAAACAGGATGCAAATTTCATCTTTTAAGTACAGTGAACCCTCTATAAGTGCACCCCCCTCGGGAACATAGTGCTATTTCTTGTGAGCATGCATTTATGGAGGGTGTGCATTTATGGAGGGTATACATAGTGCGTGCATTTAGGGAGGGTCCACTGTATGTGTCTAGTTGATAACATGTACATTGTTGACAAATATGATGTATTTGTTTTACCTGACTCTGCTATGTGTTTGTTACAAATCGAAAATGTTATCAAATCAGTGAAGAAATTTAAGGTAAGTGATCTTTGTAATCTCAATCTTATAAAAAGATGTTCACAGATTCTTATTCACAATAGTTTTACTAGATACGCATGTTGAAATATTATCATCAACTTATTAAAACTACTCATAAAGTGACTCAACCACAGAAACAGATTGTACCATGTGCTTCACCAACAAGAAACGTTGATGAAAACAAATCAGCAAATCAAGTTAAAGTTAAAAGAATTAAAATCAGTAATAAAAAATAAGAAAATATAATTATGTGGTAAAATTATTAAAACAAAAAAATATACATATGTATTGCTGTTTGATCTTGTTTAATAATAAATCAGATTTTTTGCTAGCTTCATTTTCTATAAATTAAGATTGCTTATTAAATTTTCTTCTCATGTGAAAAATCACTTTTTAGAATTTACATTTTGTCTTCAAAGTGATAATTTGTTAACCTAAAATAAAAATAGGTAATAAATAATGTTATTATTATATTATAAACCATTGTATGAATGAGTATGCACATTCAAGTTTCATTTTTTATAGAAATTTTCACATTTGCAACCAATGTAAACTCAATGGCTTTGTGCAACAACTACTTTGAACTCTCTTGATGATATTTACCCATAGTATTCTTTGTGCTCAGTTTTTCTTTTTAATTTTTGCTTGTGGATTTGTTAGCATTTTTGAAAGAAAAATTAAAAGATTTATAATAATCTGCAAAAACAAAAAACTAATTGAGAGGGTTTCTAGTCATTTGCCTTAAAAATATTAAAAAAATTAGGCCTTAGAAGAGGATTCATTACCAGTTTTTGATGCATAGCAAAACACTGAGTTATTTAATAAGGAAATGGATTTATCAAAATTTATTACTACTTCTACCTACAAAACTGAAAAATTATCAAATTCGCATAGATTTGGTTAATGCAGATATAACCAAAAAAATTTTCTTGAGAAGTACTATTACTAGTTTTTAGCATCTTCACTCATAATTAATTTGCTTTTTGTTACTTTGCTGCTGTTACATTTTCATGATTGGAACTAATTATAAAGAATAGTGCATTTAAAAGGGAGGCATTCACTTTACCGACAACTCGGGGGTACATTTAACCTCCACATCTAATAAAATGCTAAAATGGCATGCTGTGTGTTGTTGGTAAAATGATTGTTGGTAAAGTAATACATACTCCATTTAAAACAAGGGTAATTTGTAAAATCAGTAGTATAATTGTGATGTTACTCTGAAATACAAATGTTCACTTTGCCTGGTTTTGTTGCAGCATGCCCCATATATAATGACAATTATATTCATTTTACTTCTGTTTGCAAACAAACTACAAGCAATAACAAAATTAAAACAATTATAATAAGCATAGATATTGTGTGAATGATAAGCAGGTAAAGAAGTAATATATACATATATTGTACATATATAAACAATTATTATTTTTTTTTATTATTTCAAAGATGGGCCTGATCAATAGAAACGAGGCATGTCAAAAAAATCATGTTTTGAGAAAATCAACAAATAATATTTTGACCCCCAAAATTCATGATTTGTAGAACATTGCTAAATTTTATTAAACATTCAAAAATTATTTTATAATAATAATAATTGCTCGTGTAACATCATGTAGACTAATGCCATTTCACTTTTTCTCAAATATCTCAAAACATTTATAAGCAAAGTGGGTATAGTTACCAAGTTAAAAATGTTCTTTGTGATGAATTACATATAAAAATATTGTTAACTCAAATCGACTTTTTGGTGACATGCCTCGTTTCTATTGATCAGACCCCATATACAGTGGATATGATTTTTTTCTTGAAACTGACTGCAGTCAATTTAAATCATGTAACACAATCCCGCACTTTTAATTTCATACATTATTGCAGTATATTCGAGTAAAACTTTAAAATTTTTTTATTTTATTAATTTCATCTTTATATAGATTTATTATAATACACAAAAAACAAAAAGCGAATTTGGTCAATACGTTTAATAAAATCAATTGGGATCTTTGTTACATGTGCATTTAGTATTTAATCTTATGAGATCCTCTAGTTCTTATAGCAGCTAATAAAATAATAAAAAAACTATTATTTAATAACATCTAACATTAAAATGAACCCTTCGGAAATGCGTCCAAGATCAAGATCACCTAATTTTCAAACTGAAACCACCAATATGTTGTCTGATCAACTTTTAGGGAATTTAGAAGCTAAACTCCCATATGAAAAAAATGACAATTCTTTTATAAAATATAGAATGAATCACACACCGTTAATTGGACCATTTCTAGAAAGAAAACGCTGGAGATGTGTATCATGTTTAATAGTGGTTATGATTATTTTAGCTTTGTTTCAAGGTGTTTTAATGTTTTTCGACTTCTTATTGTCTTCGAGGAATGATCATCCAAAAATTGGTATGTTAAATACTTTTCGATCATAATTTGTAAAATCATAATAATATTAATAATAATAATAATTTTTGTATGTTTAAAACAAAAGAAAAACAAAATTATCAACCGGTAAAATATATTGGCATACCTTCTAATGTGACAACTGAATTAAATCAAGAAGTTACAAAGATTTTTCATGTCACAAAAGAATTTGGATTAGCATCAATGGGTGGATTAGGTCATATAGTTACAGGATTGTCACAAGCTCAAACTGCTAATAGTGCATTAGATGTAAATGTAATCATGCCTTTCTATTCTTTCTTGAAGTTATACCATGAATTTCGTAGTTTTGCTCAAATGTCAATTGATATTAAAGATAAATATGGAAATTCACAACAAGTCGTGTTTTTAGTAAATTACTTTTATTGGAATGTAACTCAAGATGATGCTGATATATTGAGTGACGAACCACCACCAGAGCCAAGAGCTGTAAAGGTTTTTGTGATAGGTCCTGATAAAAATGGCATGGAACCTTTTAATTTAGCCTTTGAATCGGATGGTGTCATTGATATATATTCAACGCCACCAGGTTTACCTCAAGAATGGAAGGATCTGTATTTTTGCAAAGCTGTAGCTGAATTAATAGCATATATAAATAATAATGTTGATACTCCCTTGTTTGCTACTCAAGAAGAACATGGTGTTGACGTGATACATATTCATGGCGCTACAAATGCATTGGTAGTTGAATTTATCAAGGATTTAAATAAAGGAAACAACAGATTTAGTAAACCACCTCCTGCTATTGTTTATACTTTACATGATTATTTGGAGGAACAATTGTATTCAAATGAGGTTGTAAACATTTTAAAATTTATGGATTTAAAAAATTACACAACTGAAAAGCCAAATTATTTTCATGGTTCAAGAATGTACACATCATCATTAGCAATTGATCAAGCAGATTATGTCACGTTTGTTTCATATACAATGGCAAAAGAAATGGTGGAAGGACCGATGGATTTCTATCTTAAAGAATTGATTATGCCTAGTATATTGGAACGTGCTAAAACAGGAAATTGGATTGGAATAACTAATGGCATTGATCTTACAAGTTTTAATCCATTTAATGACTCATTATTAATTGAAGCCAATTCAAACTTTCCAAAGAACATTTATACATTCAATCCAAATGCTCTTATTCCTGGAAATATTGAAGAACGTTATGATAAACTGGTAATCTCTTCAAAATATAACGCAAAAAAACATTTAATTAGAGAAGGCCTTCTTCAAGAAAAAGATTTGAATCGTGTAATTGTATTGTTTGTAGGTAGATTCCAGTACAACAAAGGTGTACAGTTTTTCTATGATGCTGCTCAAATTATTTCACAATTAAATGCTAAATTTATAATAATGGGACAACATAATAGTTATCCTGTTGAAAAAATTGCCACCATAAGTAAAGAGTACCCGGATGATGTTGTGGTTATTAGTGATCTTGAATTTCAAAAAAATTGGGGCTCTTTATATAGAGCTGCTGCTGACATATTATTTGTACCTAGTCTAACAGAAAGTTTTGGATTAGTGGCAGTTGAAGGTTTATTATTTGGAGCTCCCGTAGTTAGTACAGGTGCTGGCGGATTAAAAGAATTTTTGAAAAATAAAACACATAATGTACCATCATCACCAGATGATTTAGATTTCGATTATAATTCATATTTGTTTAATTTATATGAAAATGATATGTTTGATTTATCAATTGAGGAAATGAGATTGGCTTTAAGTACAGCCATCAATGATATAAAAGGATTGTCAAATGATATTAGAGGCAAAGAAATATTTTTGAGGAAATTGATCAAAGATGCTTTAAGTTTAGATTGGAATAAACCTGGTGGAGCTGTTGATCAATACGCCAAAGTTTATAACATGGCAATTCAAAAACACAATAACTTAATATAGATTAATATAATAATATAATATAGATTAATTTATAATTTATAATTTATAATTGTAATATTTTTTAATATTTTTTTTAGAATAAAATATTTATAAAATACTTTGTTATAAAGGCTATCTATTTTGGGAATTAAAACTACATTTTTTAGCTTAGAAATGATACCCATTTTATTTAATAAAAATTGGTTGTATATATACAAAATTGAACGTGAGCCATACAACTTATTCTTCTAGATTATGATTGGCTAAAATATTAAAGATATTCAAGTAGAAAATGTGTTAACCAAACCAAAATCCTGGCCTCTGAAAACGATATTGATAATTTTATTATCACAGATCATGAATCAATTTGAAAATTATAACAGCGTTAATATGATATGGTTTATACTACCGAGTGGATTAGAAATTCGAAGAAAAAGAAATTTCAGCAAAATATCAAAATGTTTAAAGATTTTTTCAGCAGCCTTTATTTCATATTGTACTAATTTATTTCAGACATTGAAATCACTGAAATATAATAACACCTTCCCGTATTCCAATTTTCTCATCAAAATCGAATTAGACAATAAATCATAAATTTTATTCAGTGGTCAAAGGTTAATTCTGATACATTTTATTACCAGGTTGAATGCTGAATCTTGCAATTATCTTGATATATATAAATAAAAGTTTGATTAGAATCTTTCGAAGGTGTTGGTATCACCACATATGTACGTGTAACAAGGTCTTTAAAGATTACGTATTCACAAAAATTTGATGTAATATTAAATTCATTATTTATTTCAAAGTTCTTTTAAAATGGTACGTCAACCAAAAACTAATCTAGAAATTAATGAAGTTTAATTGAAAATAAAAATTTTTTTTACAAACAACGATAGATCAAGAAATCATTTTGTGTATTGATTCAATGTTATATTTGAGAATTTATAGGGCAATTCTCAGTCTCTTAATCTTAATCCATCAGGATCCGGTAAAGATGATAAGAATAAAGATGAAAAGGTACTATGATTGTATTTCTTTTGACAATGACTTATAAGAATTTGATGATATATCTTACAGATCAATTAAATCCTTTTTTTTTCAGGATAAAGATAAAAAGAAAAAATGGGAACCACCACTTCCTACACGTGTTGGCAAGAGAAAGAGAAGAGGGCTTGATGCCATTTCAAAACTACCAGCTGGTATTTATTTAAATAGATATTGATAATTCAAGAAAGTTATTTTTTTCTTTAAAATATACTCTATAATGATGGTTGATTTTATTTTGTTGAGGGCAAATATAAATCATGTTTTTTGTTAAATTTATTGATCAATTAGTATTTCCTACAACGAGATGTCATCTCAAATTGTTGAAGATGGAACGTATAAAAGATTATTTATTGATGGAAGAAGAATTTGTCCAAAACCAAGAAAGATTAAAACCGCAAGAAGAAAAGGCACAAGTATGAATTTGTTCTCAAAGAAATATTAAATCAATCATCCAGTCAGTTTATTTCTTTTTCTCCATTTATTTAAAAACTTTTTTTTTGGATGTTTCTAAATTTCATATATAGGAAGAAAGGATAAGGGTTGATGATTTGCGTGGATCACCAATGGGAGTTGGTACATTGGAAGAAATCATAGATGATGATCATGCAATAGTCTCCTCTTCTACAGGTCCAGAGTATTATGTCAACATATTATCATTTGTTGATAAAGATTCATTAGAACCGGGTTGTTCGATTCTTTTGCATCACAGGGTATTGTTTTTTATTTACTTTTTGGATTAGTTGGTTGGTTAAAAGCATATCCATATTGATATATATACGATATATACGCGTATGTAGGCCATGTCTGTTGTTGGAGTTCTTCAGGATGATACAGATCCAATGGTCAGTGTGATGAAACTTGAAAAAGCACCCACTGAGTCATATGCTGATATTGGTGGGTTAGAGCAACAAATCCAAGAGATTAAGGAATCAGTAGAATTGCCCTTAACGCATCCGGAATTATACGAAGAAATGGGAATAAAACCTCCAAAAGGAGTTATTTTATATGGAGTTCCAGGAACCGGTAATAAAAAATTAATGATAATAAAATATTTATATATTTGTGCATTTATTTAATATTTAAAAATTTTATTTTTTAAAAAAGGCAAAACACTTTTAGCAAAAGCTGTAGCAAATCAAACATCAGCTACATTCTTACGTGTTGTTGGGTCAGAGTTGATTCAGAAGTATCTCGGAGATGGACCTAAACTTGTGCGCGAATTGTTTCGTGTTGCAGAAGAACATGCGCCGTCAATAGTTTTTATTGACGAGATAGATGCTATTGGAACAAAACGGTACTTTATAATCATTAGTTATTCACTCTTTTATACCAAATTGAAATATCAAATATATACTAATAATACTCATACTATATATATATGTAGTTATGAGTCAAATTCTGGTGGTGAGAGAGAAATTCAAAGAACTATGTTGGAATTATTAAATCAATTGGATGGGTTTGATTCTAGAGGAGATGTTAAGGTTCATAATTATCATCATCATTATTATTTGAACCCTTTATTGTATGAAATTATTATATTAATATATAATAAAATAATATATATTATATATGTAAAGGTCGTCATGGCAACAAATCGTATAGAATCACTTGATCCTGCTTTGATTCGTCCAGGACGTATCGATCGTAAAATAGAATTTCCATTACCAGATATAACAACTAAAAGAAGAATCTTTAATATACACACCAGCAGAATGACTTTATCACCAGATGTAGATCTTGAAGAATTTGTTATGTCTAAGGATGATCTAAGTGGTGCAGATATTAAGGTAATTAATCAATAATTTAAAAAACTTATTGTTTTTATTGTGTAATAATCATTATTTTTTCCCTGTTTTTGCTCTTTAGGCTATTTGTACTGAAGCAGGTTTATTAGCACTTCGAGAAAGACGTATGAAAGTGATCGCAGAAGATCTTAGGAAAGCAAGAGAAAAGGTTTTATATCGTAAATCTGAGGGAACACCCGAGGGTCTATACTTATAATTCAACATTATCATTATTATTTTTATATATTTTTTCAATAAAATAATATATAATCGCGAGTACACCAGAAAAACATTATTTCAATAAATAAAAAGTATATTATCAGAAACATTGGTGTTTTATTATATATTTAATTAAAAAATTAATCTTCGTCCCAATTAGGATTTTGTTTTGGTGCTTTAGGTCCACCAGCTGGTTTACTCATGATAATCTATTTTTTTCAAATATACATTATAAAATACAAAATTAACAAATCGACCTACCCAGTTAATTGCTTAATCATAATTAAGAAAAAATAAAGAAATACCTGATCAACTCTTAACACAGTTAAAGCAGCATCAGTAGCAAATTTAATGGCCCACAACTTACTAGCATAGCAATCTAAAATTCCTTTCTCCACGACATTACAAACACCTCCACCATCTTCTTCATTTTCAATGTCTACACCTATCAATCGATTATAATTTTTAGCATCTTGTGATTCGTCTTTACAACCTTCAACATCATCTATTGTTGTATCACTTCCTTTTGTTATCTTAGTGGTAGTAGTACCAGCAGCAATATCAGCATTATAATGAATGGAATAAAGTTTTGCTAAAACTTTTGTAGCATCTAATCCAGAATTTTCTGCTATTGTTCTTGGAAAAATTTCAAATGCTTCACCATATGATTTTATTGCATGTTGATTTAATCCAGGTGTTTTCTTTTATTTATTTATTTTTTTTTTTAAGAAATTTTACTAAATATCAAAAAAAAAAAAAAAAAGAAGATTTATAAATAAATAAATATATATCTCTTACCTCGCCAAAACTGACTAATTGTTTAAGCAATTCCATTTCAGTTGCGCCAGCACCAGGAACTAAACGATTATCTCTGCCAATGGCTTTAACTATATTAATACCGCCATCAATAGCTCTCTCAATATCATCCAAATGATTTTGTGTAGCTCCACGAATAATTATTGTAGCTGTTTTAGTTGTTTCATTTTCTAATCAATTTGATAAGATAGATATGAATATAAAATATTATTATATAAATAAATACATAAATCAAATATTTATTTTCATAATAAATTTTTTACCTTGTCTAAAAACGGTGACTCTATCACCACCAATTTCAACAGTTTCTACAATGTCACAATAACCCATCTCTTCTGGTGTAGGAACACCTAATCTGGCCAATGCATTTGCATCTAAAACTTTACATAATCTTCTTAAATCAAACTTTGATAACACTTTAACCACCATAATATTAAAACGATTCAAATAATGTAATGCCAATTCTCCGATTGATGATCCTGTTACTACCACTTTTATATCTGCATCAGCCAATTCTTTAAATACCTTTTGTTTTGAATAAAAATGATAATAAAATATATATATATATATATTATAATTTTTTAATACAATTTTAAAAAATTTTCCAATACCTTTTCCATATGATGTTCTTCACCTTTAGTAAAATTTAACATTTCTTTAGCATTATGAATCAAAACCGTACCTTTTGTTTCGGTCTGTGTCAAATCCAAAGGACAAGTGAAGACAGCGATTTTTCCATTATTAACTTTACGTACAATTCCTTCTGGTTCACGACCAAATACCATACCCTTGACCACCCTACTCTCATGAATACTGCTACCCATAACTTTCACCACTCTAATATTATCAACATTGAAATTTTGAGGATTTTTTGGCATTACAAGATGTGCAGCTTCAATTACCAATGGTGTAAGTATATCTTCATTGCCATATTGTTTTGATGATATTGTAGTTTTGACAGCTTTTGATAATTCTTTTGGTGATTTCAAATCTTTTACAGATTCTATGCAAAACTCTAATATACAGTTTTGAATCAATAATTAATAATATGTATACAAGATGTGTTTTTACGAAAATAATATTATTTATATACGAATTACCTTGCAAGATCTCTGAAACTTTATCTCTAGCAATTTCATAACCTTGAATGATTTCACTTGGGTGTAAACCCATTCTTAATAAATATTCTGCTTTTTGAAGTAATTCTCCTGCCATAATCATTACAAAATTTGTAGCATCTCCTACCTGTGAATAAAAAGAGAGAAAGAAAGATGTTAATCAAAAACAAATATAATAGTATATGTGCGTATGTCTATAATTATAACGTAAAAGATGGTATGTATATATATTCAGAGTGGAGTGATTTGTGTAATAATTAAATCCACATTAATATAATAATATATTTGTCATTATTTAAAAACAAAGGTTTGTGAAAACCTCTTTTATCATCATTAAAAAACAATAATATCTTTTTATTTAAAACCATTTATAACACGTATACATATAAATATTGATTGATTACCTCTTGCTCTTGCTGTTGACTAGCCATCACCAATAATTTCGCAGCAGGATGTACAACTTCTAATTCACGAATAATTGTAGTAGCGTCATTTGTAACAAAAAGTTTCTCAAGATGATTAATCACCATTTTATTTTTGCCTTTTGGTTAGTATTTTATTAGAGCGCATAATATATATATATATATATTAATTAGAAAATGAATTTATCAAAAATACTAAACATCAATAACAACACTAATAATAATGAATGATACCATTTGGACCAAATGAAGTTCTAACAATCTCGGTTAATTCATGAATGGCTTGAATATTTCTTAAAACGGCTTCATCAACTCCTTGTATATTCTTTTAAAAAAATACATAATATGTATACATATATACATGTATGAATGTATTAATATAATTTTTATATTTTTTTATTAATTTTTATAATTATTATTTATCGTAAAGAAAAACCTTGTATCCATCTTTAAACAATTGAGGATAACTACTCTTTGGTACACGTAAAGCCATTTTTTATTAATCGATTAAAAAAATTTGATCTGTTGAGGTTTTCAAACAACACTGTAACACAGAAGATTTGATATATTTTTTTTTAAAAAAAAAAATGGCACAAAAACCACTTAATTCTAAAAAAACATTAGCAATTAACAAAAAGAAAAATGATCGAAAGAATATTAAAAGCAATGATTTAAGAAAAGGATGTAAGAGTAATCTTAATCAATTAATTGATAGGAGTTTGTTCAATATATGAAAGATTAATTTAACATGATCAATTATTATGATAATAATAATCTTGTAGCTAAAGTAATTGCACCAAAGAAACAATCTTTAATAAAACAAAGAAAACTGCAAAAGGTATTTAGATTATCGTTACTTTTCACTTTATTCAATAATTAATATTTAATATTTATAAATATAAAATATTTTATAATCAATAGAAATTTACTGCATCTATAAATAAAAACATTGAAAAGGTCTTAGTGTCAAAGATTGAATCAATTGGAACCAATCAGAAGTTTCATATAATCAAACCAGATATCAATAATAAGAATAGTAGTAATAGTAATAATAGTAGTAATAGTAAGAGTGGTAGCAATAGTAAGAGTGGTAGCAATAGTAAGAGTGGTAGTAAGAGCGGTGGTGATAATAATAATAACAATAATAATAGAAAGAAAATTTAAAGTTTGAATTTTCGGATTAATAAAATTTATTAAATTATGAATATAGGATTTCAACATAAACAAAAGTGTTATCAAAGTTTGATTTAAGAAGATTATGTAAAGTTTTAGATGCAAATGCATTGGCCAGATTAGGTGTTCCTACACCAGAAGAGATGGGTTATTGTGACATTGTAGAAACTGTTGAAATTGGTGGTGATAGAGTCACCGTTTTTAGACAAGGTAAAAAATTTATTATGAAAATAAATATTTGATTTATGTATTTATTTATATAATAATATTTTATATTCATATCTATCTTATCAAATTGATTAGAAAATGAAACAACTAAAACAGCTACAATAATTATTCGTGGAGCTACACAAAATCATTTGGATGATATTGAGAGAGCTATTGATGGCGGTATTAATATAGTTAAAGCCATTGGCAGAGATAATCGTTTAGTTCCTGGTGCTGGCGCAACTGAAATGGAATTGCTTAAACAATTAGTCAGTTTTGGCGAGGTAAGAGATATATATTTATTTATTTATAAATCTTCTTTTTTTTTTTTTTTTTGATATTTAGTAAAATTTCTTAAAAAAAAAAATAAATAAATAAAAGAAAACACCTGGATTAAATCAACATGCAATAAAATCATATGGTGAAGCATTTGAAATTTTTCCAAGAACAATAGCAGAAAATTCTGGATTAGATGCTACAAAAGTTTTAGCAAAACTTTATTCCATTCATTATAATGCTGATATTGCTGCTGGTACTACTACCACTAAGATAACAAAAGGAAGTGATACAACAATAGATGATGTTGAAGGTTGTAAAGACGAATCACAAGATGCTAAAAATTATAATCGATTGATAGGTGTAGACATTGAAAATGAAGAAGATGGTGGAGGTGTTTGTAATGTCGTGGAGAAAGGAATTTTAGATTGCTATGCTAGTAAGAGTGGTAGCAATAGTAAGAGTGGTAGCAATAGTAAGAGTGGTAGTAAGAGCGGTGGTGATAATAATAATAACAATAATAATAGAAAGAAAATTTAAAGTTTGAATTTTCGGATTAATAAAATTTATTAAATTATGAATATAGGATTTCAACATAAACATGCAATGTATTTCAGGTTTAAATACATATACCTTAATAATAAATAACCTGAGATAATGAGAATTAATGTAAATAATAATAAATATAAATCAAAGAAAACAAACTATCATTGAATAGTAATATATAGACATTAATGAATTGCTTTATACACTTTTCCTTCGAGTCTTGAATATTTTGCCATGGCTTTATTACAATTTGGACATGAATGAATACAGTCTTTGAGATCGTTAATCTAAAGTAATTAAAAATGAGTTTAAGAATTTAATTTGAATAAAATAATAACTGTAAATAATAATAATAATATAAACTTACACAAAATGGGACTAAGCAACAACAACATGAAGTAATTCCGAAGAAAAATAAGCCTAAAGAACTTAACCAAGTAGCGGAACCTGGCTCAAATTTGACACGACTTAATACGATTGCATTACAATGTGGACAAGTTGTCATTGTAGGTTCGTCTTTTAATTCTTTAATAGAAACAGGTTGTGACAAAATAACCGTATCAGCCAAGTATCCTGGATTAACGAGACCATTTGAATAATTTTGATATAATGGTGTGGATGGTGGAAGAGGCGGTGTGTAAGAAAGATTTGGTGTGTGCCTATAAGGTACTTCAGGATAAGGTTGTATACTTTCTTCAACTATAACTCCATGAGAATAATCCACATTTGATGAGTATGGTGGAGGTAGATCATTGTTATTGTAGTTATTATTGGAAGAAGAAGATCCTCCTGTTGTTAATTGGTCTCTTTTATTTGACATATTTAAAAAAAAATTTAAGTTTTATAACTTTATTTTGATTTAACTTTGTACAACACATTTTTTATGCAATGTATGTATGGGGTGTTCGTCATCACGTCAAAATGATCACCTGACTTTAAAACTAAATGGTTAATGATCGATCTACACGTCTATAACGGATCATTGGGACCAGTATTAAGATTTTTAATAATCATTTTCTAGATATAGCTACTTCCCTATTTGGCTCTCATCATCAACGTAATTACTAATGCTATTATTTCCTTTGTCAGTATAACTGCCACCTCCGTTATCATCTTCGTCAGTGTAACTGCCATCTACACTATCATATTCGATGTAACTACTACTGCTGATACCACTTTGTAATCCACCGGTACTTGCTTATTTTGATTTAATGTTTATCAGCATATCAAAATATTTGAATCGAACTATCTTTGACAAATGTTTTTTTTCTTCAGCATACCAAAAAAAAAACAAATAATGTTTTTTTTCGTTGTCAATTTCTAAAAGGTAGTGAATAAATAATCTTTTTTGTTTTGACATAATTTTCGATAACAGCCATTGTTTATAAAAAAGCATGGTTATTGAATATACTAAAAAGGGTAGTAATAAAAAAAATGAGAGAGGATTAAAATTCATTTTGTCAATATATGTTATTTTTTTCTTTTTATTATTAATAAATAAATAAAGTAGAGCTTGTTACTAAGGATACCGGCTGCAACTTTTGATGATGGTTGCTACCACCTTTGCGTCATATAAAAATGATTGCAACCACTGGTTGCAACCGCCTTTACAACCATTTTGTTTCCTTTTTGGAGATATATTTTTTTGTGAGGTCTATCACATGATTTTAAGTGTGACAAAATCACATGTTTTAAAAACGATTGGCCGATACTTTTGTTTTTATTGTGAAAATTGACAATAAAACATGATTTTGGACCTTCCAAGTATTTTTTTTTTTTTTTTTTATGGCAAGAAAACATGTTTTTGCATTAGTTTTTAATGAAAAGTTCAACAATTTTAAGTTCCAACCAACAAATGCACCTCAATTTGAGATCTACATTTATTCGTTGATTCTTGATTCAGGCGGCTGTGAACCATTATCTGATCAATCAACATGTTTGTTACGAAATCATTGGTGAACATTCAATGTGTTCTAAATTGTCAAGAACGTGTAGCTATGCAACTACGTGTTTATTTTTACACCATACATCTTTCCTTTTTTCATGCTACGTGGATATGTTTATTGTCATGCTGCAATGTTAACATGTGTTCCTACATATGTTCCTACGCCCATCATTGGTTGTTGTTGCTGTCAATCAACGTGTTCGAAATTGTTAAGAACATGTACCTATGTAACTATGTGTTTATTTTTACACCTTATGTCTTTCTTTTTTTTTCCACATGCGGATGCGTTTATTGTCATGTCTACATTAACATATGTTTCTTGTGTTGCCATTCATTGAATTACTGATTTTTACGATTTGGCTATGAAGAAGGGTGAAAAAAATTTGTATAAAAAGGTCAAGTGAATGAGCTACTAGATGCAAAGGAAATATTTGATACTCATAAAACAATTTAAATCACATCTAAAAAAAATAAATTCGTGGGATTTTGATTGCATAAAGGTAGATATATGAGTACAAAAGGTTAGATCTATTGAACCAAAATGGCTTGAAAGAATTGATGTAATAAAATGCCTTGTAAAAAAAAAGTATGTAAAAAAAATCATTAGAAAATTTGTTTTCAATTAATTATAATAAATAAATAAATAAACATTGTTTTTCATTTTTCACCTATCAAATAATTATGCAATCAGAAATTAATATATTAAAACAATCATGATTGTTATATTTGTGTGTATTAGTCCTGCTCTAAGCCTAAAAACGCCATCGTCTTTGAGTGATTTAAATACTGTTAATTCTCAAACTCATGAAAAATAAATGATTTATGAGGAGGAAGCAAAAAAAGTAATATTGCTTGGAGGTATTTTAAACAATCATCACCATAGCGGATTTCTTGTCACAACGGATTTTTTTGGCTGGTTCCGTGACGAGGTTTGACTGTATAAAATATTTGACTTTTCGATGGCATGCCGTAAATTCAGTCTGCTTTATTTTCACATCAATCAAAGCAGTTAATCATTGGTGGTGTTATGACTTGCTAGATTGATATTAAAAATAAAGAAGAAAATCAAACCGTTCATGCCTCAGATCGGACAGATCCTTACCATACTAATACATGTCTGAAATTTGAAAGGGGGGCCTTATGGTGATGATCGTCGTCATGATTGATATATATAGATGATATGCACACCATTATTATTATCATCTTTTTTATCAAAAAGAAAATAATGGCGGTAAATTTTTCATTTTTTTAGTATGTTTAAATTTTATCATCTTTTAATTAAATTATTTTATATAAAATAAACTTAATTCAGTTTCAACCAGTAAATCCAAAACCTTTTTTACAAGAATTAACAGGTAAACCTGTTATGGTACGTTTGAAATGGGGCATGGAATATAAAGGGTACTTAATGTCAGTTGATTCTTATATGAATATACAACTTGCTAACACAGAAGAATTTATCGATGGCAATTCAACTGGTGCACTTGGTGAAGTATTGATTAGGTGGTATAAATATAAACATATAAAAAAGATATGTATTATTTTTTTTCAATTATCACTTATATAATTTATATAATATATAATAGATGTAATAATGTTCTATATATTCGAGGAATTGAAGAGGATACAGAAATGAGTGGTGGAACGTAAAATTAGATTTCATTTTTTAATGTATAGAAATTTTTATAGAAATTATTATTGAAACTAATAAAAATTTAAATCAATTATATAAATAAATAAATCAAAATCATGGTTCTAACAAAAATGCTTGTTTATTTTTGTGCGATGATGAAGAAGAAGAAGGGGAAGAAGGTGTAATATAATTGGGATTTTTATCTGGTATAGATGATGCTTCAACCTTCAAGTCATGTAATTTTGTTTCTAATTTTTCTAACTCTTGATTTTTTTCTTTTATTGGTTGCTTCACTTCTTCTTTCACCACCTTTCTTTCTTCTTCTGCAGCTAATAAATTCTCTAATTCTTTTTCTAATTCATCGTCAACATCATTATTTAATGCTGCAACAAGTATTGAATCCTGTCCTGATTTCATAGCATCTTCAATTTCCTTTTGATCTGCAAGAACTTCTTGTAGATGATCCATTGTTTCATCTACTTTATCAATTGTTAGACCACTTATAACCAAAGTATTTTGCAATGCATCAGCCCCAGCTTTATAACCTTCAATTATCTTTTTATATGATGTGGAGGAATGGAGAAATAAATATTGATTAAAATTGGAAGTTAATGTGGAGGAAATTTAAAATTTAAAATCTTTTTACCTCTGCATCAGATACAGCTTCTTGAATTTTTAATAGGATTGTTTCGACTGCTTCCAAAGAGTTTATTCTTTTAACTAAAATTTTATCAAGTTTTAGTTTTTTTCGCAAATATTTCATTGCTAGTGTTTTCTGCTTAAGAGAAATATATTTACTAGCAGCTGTCTTTAACCTAATAAAAAAAACCCCCATAAAAAATAATAGTCAAAATTACAAAAAAAAAAAAAAGTAATTCACAATAATTCGCTAATTCAAAAGTACATATATACTCTTTGATTCGAGTTTCTATATCTTGAATTTGTTCATGTAGTTTCCGTGATGTTTCCTTTATTGTAATAATGTTACAATCCAATTCCGTAATTTCAAGTTTCAATTTATATTTTTTCAAACAAAACTTGATCACCAAATCATCAGGATTGCTATCATATTTATGAGGAGACCCATTACTCAAACTTTTTGTTACGATGACTTTAAGATCATATTCTAAATAAGTGATTAGCACTTTTATGTCAGTATCTGTAAGCATCGAACCAGGAATTACTTTAGCTGCAAATTCTGACTTAAATGTAGCAAGTGTATAAAGATTATCAGAAATCCGATTTAATGCAATTTTTTCATGAAGTTGAATAATTTTGGTTGATGATTCTTTCAGTTTATCAATTTTCACCCATTTTCCTGAAATAATATTAACAGGCTCTGATCCTGTTAAATTTTGAAATGTCCATGCTATTGGTTG